TATTTGTGCTTGCTATTGAAACCATATGGCTGTTGCAATAGAATAAGTAGAGCTGCTGTATTTCTCAGCAAGTACATTCTATTGAACCAAGAACTGCGATCTGCATTGAAGTAGGTGTTTTGCAACGATTTTGGGCAACCGGTGATCTGACATTTTCATTACTTTATTGATATACTCAAAATGCAGTTGTAAGGTTAATGTATGCAGTAATGGCAGCCCCGATTCGAGGTGTATTCTGTGTAGCTTAAAAATTTTCTTTATGTAAAACCACTGTAATTTTTCAGTGCCATCGGATTATATATAACCCCAAACTTGCGCTGCGAAACACAATTTATCTGACGGTTGCTATGAACATTTTGTATTTTGTGCTATGACACACATATCATCTGCAAAAAATTGTTTCCCAGTGCTATTTAGTGCCACTTTTGAGTCGGAAAGTTTTTGTCGAGTAAGATTTATAAAATTCATGATCGGCGCCATTAGTACTCCCAAATATTTAAATTCATTTACTACCTCTAATTCCACCCCATTTAAGTTCCAACTATCGGTCCTTGCTTTTTTACCTCTGTTGTCTTTCACAATCATTATTTCCAATTTATTGCAATTCATTTGTAGGCTCCAAGTTTGACTATACTGTTTGAGTGCGTTTATTATCTTCTAGAGTGTTTGAGAATATTCTGCAAGTAAGACCATATCGTCCGGATACTTTAAAACATTTTCAACCTAAACTAACGCTACCAGGCAATATAGACGATATGTAATCTACATACAACGCGAAAAGTAGTGAACTTAGAAGACAACCTTGTTTGACACCACGATTTGACTCAAACTAGTTTGAAGATATTCACCATTTCAAACTGCTGTTTCGTTTTTGATATATAAGCTTTGAAACACATTTAATATTATCGATGAGATGCCAATATTACTTAGTTTCAGAAAGAAACTACCCTTATTGATGGTGTCAAAAGTCGCCTTGAAATATACTAAAAACATATACAATTTGCATTTGCTTTGGAGAAACTTCTTTGCAATTGATGGCAGCACAAAAATACTGTCTAAGATAGAGTATGATTTCCTAAAACCTGCCTGATATTCGCTCAGTGATGATAAGTTTGCACACAGTTGGTTAATCGGATAAGAAGAGCAGAGGTGATTATTTTAGTGATTACATTAAGAAAAGAAATATCAATGTAATTAGATGGATCGCTTGTGTCACCTTTTTTATACGTGAGAAATATAACTTTTTTTTTTGAAACTATCAGGTGTATTCTCTGATTCAAATATACTATATTACTGTAGACAGCTGTCAAATAACTTACGAATTTTGTTGACGCATTTTTTAGAAATTCTGTCGGTACTCTATCTACACCTGATACTTTTTTGTTTTTAGTTCGCTTTATAGCAGACATTTCTTCGATTGTGTTTATTTGAAGAGCCAATTCCTATACTGTCAAGTACGTCAAATCGAAATTATGTTGAGTGGCCGGCCTTTGAAATGGCTAGCAACTTTAATAGGTTTAAGAGTGTTTAGGGGCTTGTTCTACCGCTGTCACGGGTAAGCCCGGTATTGCAATACCATATTGTCTTAATTTTTTAGAGTTATAGACTGAACACCTTGTCATGTCACTTTGTAACTAAAGGTGCAATTCAAATAATTCCTTCATTTTTTTTAAAATAATGTTTATATATTTTCAAACTTACTTCATCAAAATCTCGTTTTAGATAAAAATTGGACTCAACATGTTCACAATTTTTAGCTGACGATACGTGTTAAGATATCGGTTGACTTGGTTTTTTAACTTAGGTAAATAGTAAGAATGTGTTGCATCAGAATAGTTTCTATTAAAATCTTTCTATTCGGAATTGTTGCTTCAATCACTGTTAACATGCGTTTTTTGACATCTTGTCTAGTTCCATTTGACAATTTAGTTCCAACTTGAAGTGACCATTTGTCCGATGGAACTATAGAAACATCCAACGAATTTAAGAATTCAAACAAATAATAATTCACAAATTTGTTGGCATTCATGATTCAATTAATTTATTTGTAAGTAACAGATCTGCCTCAGATGTGGCACCTCTATATAGGATGCTTCACTTAAGAAACTTCACTTAAATATGTCACCTATCTTTTAGTATATATTCATTGTATCAACCTCCAAATTAAATTTTTTAAATTTATGTGATCGTAGACTAAGATTTAGTGAGCCTTATCTAAAATACAATATAATTAAATTAGTAGTGAATATAAACACCACAAAATATTACAGCTCGTAGTAAATACATTAATTCGTGAGTCTTACATATGTTATATATAAGCTAACACAACATATATGTACATTTTGACACTTGTTTTTTTTTTGTTGTTAATTTCGCTTTGTATACTTCCTTTGTGTATATATAATTTCCAAAAACGAACTGAAAAAAATTCAAGTCATGATGTCTACAGAAAATCTGGTAAAACCTACAAGTGTACTCTGCTGTGGAGTGCACTTAGTACGCCCCATCTTCAAATGGTAAGTGGTTGAGATAATTTTACACCAGAAACAGAGACAATGGTGCAGAATTCTTTTTAGCGTTTTTTACGTACTCTGACTTGCGGTTGGACTACTTCTGAAACACATGTGTCATGTAATTAACTTACTTTTTGCCATTTCACAAAAAGGAAGAAAAGCGTGAAATTTACTTTAATTTGCATTTTCAAGTCATAAAACTGTAGTCACTAACACTTTAACCAACTTAATTGTTAAATATATTTTAAAGGTTGTTTTTTGAAAGAGAAAGCCACAAACACCTGCAAAGAGCTCAGTGTTACAATGACACAATTAAAGATCTGCTTTTTATAACCCAAAATAATATGAGATAGAATGACGTTTTTACATCAGCTTCTTCTATTTTCTACTATTATGTTACACGAGACCCGCATTAGTTTTTCATATTTATGGTTGAGTAATTTCATTTACTAATTATTTTTAATGATATTTATATAAAATAAATTTATGTACAATACATACACATATTTTTACTTCATATTCTATTTCAATATATTAAAAAATATTTTTTAAATTAATTGTTAACTACTCCCAGCAATTTTAACTTTAAAGTCATTTGATGGTTTTCTTTAAAGCCACTTAGAGTAATAGTCAGAGCTCCTTGGTTTGTCTAAAATCAAATTATTTACAAACATTTTAAGGTATGCTTTATTAGTAATAAAACGTTTCAGTGAAAGTGTGAGAAGCAGATTAAGTCTTCATTCTAATATCTTAGCATTTCAATTACGGCAGATCCATTCCATAAACCTATTAAGAAAAATCATACTTAATTTATAAATTAGTTTGTAAATCGAGTGATTTACAAAGTATAAGTCTTGTCATAAAATATATCCTATTTACTTGTCTTTTCAGTAATTACATTGCTTTTTTTTTTTATAGAGAGTTCAAAGAACTATTTGTCTGTCGGATGGAAACTGTGGAGAGATATAGGTAACAAGCAGAAACTATATTATTACATAAAACAAAAATATGATAATCCAGACGTAAAAATTTATTACGATCGAACTATTTATTCCGATCACACGAGGTTGCACAATAGACCAGATATAACTATTGTTGATAAAAGACGTCGAGAAGGACTCTTCATTGATGTTGCAATACCAATGACCAAAAACATGGATCGGACTTATTTTGAGAGACGTAGTCGATATGCAGAATTAGCTGTGGAAACAAAACGTAATTGGAACCGTAACAAAATTGAAATTCTTCCAATTATAATTAGTGCTGAAGGTGTAACGCCAAAAAGTTTATTGTCGCATATTCCAAGACTTGAATTAAACCAGCGAATTATTGATGACATCCAGAAAAGTGTTATAATTGATTCCTGTCATATTACTAGCAAATTTTTAAATATTAATTAATTTGAAAACAATCAAATCAAATACTAGTTAAAATAGTTTAAATAAATATATAGATGATGTGTTATATTTTGTACTGGCTTAGGCCACCAAAACTTACCAAAAAACCCATTAAGGAGAATTAAATAAAAATAATAATAATAATAATAATAGTATAATATTATTATTATAATTATAATAATAAGAATTATATATTATTATAATTATAAAAATAATAATTATTCAATATTATCATTATAATTATAATAATAGTTATTGTAATAATTATAATGATTATTATTATTATTAATAATATGATTATAATTAATATTATATAATTATTACTATATTAGTGTTGTTATATTATTATCATAAAATTATTAAACTATTACTATATATATAATAATTATACAGTAATATTATAATAATAAACATAAGCAGATGTTATAAAACAACATTACAAATATACCATTAACGCTGAGATTGATAATAGAGCTCAGAAGAAATGGATCTGTTATCGTATTAACACCGTTGATTTAGTTTTTAGATCATAACCTCTGCATGACAATTCCACAGCAGTTTTTGAAGATTATGCATATGAAATTAGCCAAATCGATATCCTATCAAAACAAATACTGATATAGCTGTACTGTTTTAAACGAAGATGGCATGGGGATCTAATATAACCCATAAATGATATATATATTTATATATATATATGTAATTATATATACCATAGTGTGAAAATACTAAGCTTTCTGCTGTTTTAGGTAGAAGAGCATATATCTGACAAACAAAAAAGCGTCACTTACACACCTTCATGTGTGATTATTATAAAATATTTGATTTTTCTTATAGTCACCTAAAAAATTTGATATGAACTATATATAGGTCATTATAATGCATTTTTTATAAGTAAAAAATATAGCAATATGCATACGTAAAGGATAGTCTATTATACTTAACCATTAGTGGTATTATTATATTCTTTTCAAATGCAATAAAAATTTATTGGAATTGAAAAATTAAAAGTTTAGTATTACAATTTTATTCATGTTATTTACAATTCTGGCATAATAAATGTAAAATATGCATATATAAAAAATATTATACTGAAAAAATATATTTTTTGCCGTTATTAAAAATTAATAAAAAATATCAGTAAAATGCGAATTGGAAAGCGTGCGTCTTATAATTTCGATATGAATTGCTTTTGATACTTCTTCATTATTTTATCTTGCATGGTCTTAATATCACTGATCTTTATAGGAAATAATTCATTAGAATATATGTAATTAGTTTTTACATCAAGTTACCTACATATAAGCAAGAATTTTTTGCAAATTTTCCAGCCGCTCCCTCATGCATATTCTTCAGTTGTTCTTTGCCATTACTAAGCATTTTCTTCACATAAGCAATACCCCTTCGTAAAGCTCTATTCCTTCTTTCATAACGTTTAACATCTTTATTCAATTTGTTTGTTTTCTGACTTATTTCTTGCAAAAGTATCTTATTTGATATTAAAAATATGTACATAAAGTTTATTAATTATAAAAGCAAATTGTTTATTTTTGGTTGACTTACTTTACACTCGTCATCGTACTTCTTCATAACAGCCTCCTGCATACTATTTTTGCGATCCAGTTTTGTTTTAAAATTTTCAATTTCATTTTTTAGTATTTCCTCCCATTTGCCATCTTCAATATCATAGTATAATTCATTAATTGCTGAAAATCGTAAATATCTAAGAGGAAATATTGATATTAAACAATTGCTACTAATACCATGTTGACTTGTAGTGGGAGATACAAATATTTCCATCTCAGAAGCATTCATTTCCAATTGATAAAACTTCAATTCTTTGGCCCGCAATTCATACTGTAATCTGTATAATAAGCCTGAATTTTTCTGCACATTTCTATTGAAAGAAGGTGTAACTAGATATATCTATTACCAGCTATAAAGTTGACAGTAAATTTATTTACCTTAATATAGATTTCACATCTTTTTGATTTCCATCAATATAGCCTCTAGGTATTTTAGTTATGAGCTCTTTCAAATCATTTAAATCCTGATTCGTTTTAATTTTATGAAGATCATGTCTAGAACACTGCTCCATTTTACGTATCCATTTATTGCCAAATTCAATTCGCGTTTGTGTATCGCCCATAAACCAACTAAATGCTGTAAATGGCATATCGCTTGCAGGGTTGAGTACATTCGGTTCCATAAAGGTTTTGTATATAACCTCAAAATCATTAAGAAGACGCTTTTCTACTTGGGTAATACCTAACATTTTTAGTGCTTCTGGCTTATTATGCTGATCCCAAAGTGTGCATAAAAGCAAATCCAATTTGCACAGTTCCTGAGTATTCACCGAGTCTTGAACTGTTGAAGGTATAGTATCTTTTTTGTCAATGCTATCGTCCATTCCTCCTTTGACGAGTTCCATCATTTAAATATGCCTTTTTTTGAAAGCAATATTATATTATCTGTAACACGTTTTATCTCTCCCTTCACAATTGTATTTGTCGCAATAAATATACAAATATATCTTTTTTATAACAATTGAATAACTCAAAATTATAACAAATGTTTCTTGATTGCTGCAATATAGCTTATAATCTATTTACAATATGTATTTGAATCTCACTTCATTTTGAACAGAGTTGCCATTGTTTAAAAAAATGTTATTTGATGAATATTTCATTACATTATACAATGTTACACAGACAGTTATGGTCACATAAAATGCGAAAATTTGTTGTTTTGAACCCAAATCAAAAAATTTAAGAATGAGAAAAATATTTATTTAAATTTGATCAAACATGACGAGGCCTTGTGACGAGACCATCATGGTGATAAAAACAATGTTGCTTAGAAATAAATCTCGGAATTCGGGCTTATTAAGAGAGAATATGTATGTTTTTATATCTTTTAAATTAAGGTACAAAAAAAACGTATCAAAATAAATATTATAAAAATTTGAAACTATAAGCGATAAATATCTGTATAACCAAATTCTTCCCATAACTTGCGGCTTTTTCCAATTTTTTATAACTGCCAACAAATTTTCCCTTGATTTCACCATAATGACACACCATAATGTGGTGCGTATTAGTTGAAGTGAACTCATACTCCTATTTTGCTTATTCTTTACAAACGTTCACAACACCCTTTACGATCATATCAGTACCCAGCAGGGGAAAGTATGATGTATCATCAATACTGCATCGATACTTTAGAATCAACCATCGTTGCCAACACGATACCAAGTTTCCTTTTCTTCTTTTCGTCTTATTCTGAAGTTGGTTATGGATAAACCTTTACTTCCTAATGTAATAAATGTCAATCTATGCATTTATAAGTACCGATACTTTCAGTTACTGTATTATCGCTAGTAGCTTCATTTATTTATTATCGGGACGCTCTACATGCGCTAGATAGTGGCTGTGGGTCCCACCGCTGAATCGTCTAATTGTCCAATCATCCTAATCGTCTATGATACCAAGTAAATATATTTTTGTACATTGCATGTCATTGGAAAACCATCAATGCTTTATTGATACCTAGTCACACTTATAAGCATCATGGTTTTTAGATGTAAAAGAAAGTGTGGGGAATCAATATAATTGTGTGGTGGAATCTATATAATTGTGTGGTGAAAGTAAAATCATTTTGTAGAGTAATTTTTATCGTTGCCACAATGCATTCAAAAGTATCAACAAAGAATCAAAAAATTAAAATAAAAATCATTTATATTTGGAAAGGAAAATATGTAAATATGTATATATTTTTTTTTAACATCGTTGCTTCTATAAATTGCTATGGCCATGTTATGTGGAGTGTCTCTGGAATGGCATGAGTATAATTGTTGTTGTTTTTAATGCATATTACAAATTTGAGAATGAGAGAAAAAACAATATGGCCGTTTAAATTCCGGCATGAGAGTCGGCGTATTTGTGCCTCGGCACTAAGGCAAAACAACGTTGTTGAGTAATGAATTTCAGAATTTGCGCCTTTTAGGAGTAAATTACTACAATTCTAATACGTTTTGAAGAAAAGAATGGCAGTAACCAACACAGCCTTTTTTTTATAAATCGCTAGTAATATAATTATCACACTTTCCGATTTTAAAGAAATACGTAAGTACTGTTAACAATTATTGTAAGATAATATAATAGTAAATTTACACTATCACAGCCTCTATGAGTTTTTCTTACTAGTTATTTTTGGTGGCATATTGAAAGTGAGCATATCTGAATTTGCTTTTAAATTTAGGCATAGCCAAGAAGTACCAAGAAGTAGTAAAAATACAAAATTGGCATTTCTGATGTGACAATCTGCATAACATGCATTTTCGTCAAAGCCCGAAAGAGCGAATTTTGCCGTGCCCGAGGCACTCTGCATAACATGGCCCCTAGTAATGTACTGAGTTTTAAGAAATTACCGTCTCATAAACAAATTGTTTTTCGATGAAATCGAATATTTTGTGGAGTAATTGTCAAAGTAGACATTTATTGGTATCTAGAAAATAAGAAAAAGTTTTTCTTATGTCAAGAAATTTGAAGTATTCTGTTGTGAGCAAAAATTATTATAATAAAAATTAACGACATAAAGTGATAGAGGAACATTTCGTAGTCTTCAGCAACAAATTTCAAGTGGGAAACAAATTAAATATATAAAGATTTTCGTGGTAAGCTATTAAAGCCCTAATGTCAATATTTGAATGTTTTTTATTTCCTTTAGATTTCTAAATCTAAGCAAAATAAGCGTGAAGCAGGTAAGCATATAACATTTATTTACTTAATATGTATATATATATATATATATATATATATGTTAGAGAAAAAGTCTTTTAAAAATCCGTTTCTGCAATGCTCTGTGCAGTATCACTGTCTCACTCACTTCCTCCTTCTGAAGTAACTGTTATCTTCACATACACAGACCACTTTTTGACAAGTAGGGTAAACAGACATAGCCTACTATCTGTCAATCATTTATAAGGTGACCATATGTCAACAGGGTGACTCGTCTCTAACACGGCCATCCTGCAATACTCATCGACCACGATGAGGAATCGCGTCACAAAACCAATAAAATTCAGAGAACATGTAACTCAGAGGCAATTTTCCACTTGTTTACACGACTCAATTCAAAACCAATAGAATTCAGAGAACATGTAACTCAGAGGCAATCTTCCGCTTGTTTACATAACTCAATACAAAACCAATAGAATTCAGAGAACATGTAACTCAGAGGCAATCTTCCGCTTGTTTACATAACTCAATACAAAACCAATAGAATTCAGAGAACATGTAACTCAGAGGCAATCTTCTGCTTGTTTACATGACTCAATACAAAACTAATAGAATTCAGAGAACATGTAACTCAGAGGCAATCTTCCGCTTGTTTACATAACTCAATACAAAACCAATAAAACTCAGAGAACATGTAACTCAGAGGCAATCTTCCGCTTGTTTACATAACTCAATACAAAACCAATAAAACTCAGAGAACATGTAACTCAGAGGCAATCTTCTGCTTGTTTACATGACTCAATACAAAACCAATAGAATTCAGAGAACATGTAACTCAGAGGCAATCTTCCGCTTGTTTACATGACTCAATACAAAACCAATAGAACTCAGAGAACATGTAACTCAGAGGCAATCATCCGCTTGTTTACATAACTCTAGTTTTAAAATTCAAACGTCATATTTACCATATTCAATCATCAGAATCACACGTCAGCATGTTCCATGATTTCAAACATCAAACATTTATCACAACATTTAGACAGGGAAAATTATATCTATTCATTGCAAAATATTTTAATAGTTACTTATCTTATTCATGTTTGTTGTCATCTGTCATATGACAATGGGTTTCAGTGCATCCCTTGCAGCAATTATAAAGTTTCTTGAATTAAG